TAAAACCAATAATGAAGAAAACTTGGTACAAGAAACTAGTAATAAATTTTTAGCACTTATTGAGAAATCACAACTTCCCAGCTCCACAGAAGCATTTGGAAACTACAGTAATAGGGGCTACATAAGAACCTAGATAGAAAAATTACTACAGATTTCTATTAGAGTCACATGGTGGGTGAGGTAACATCTTTTACTGGATCAATTTCTGTTGGTGAGAGAGACACAAGCTATCAAACTTAAAAGAGCTCTTCTTCAGGTCTGTGTAAGCTCAAAAGCTTGTCTCTTTCAGCAACAAAACTTGGTCCAATAAAAGATATTACCTCACCCAACATATCTCTCTAATATCCTGGGACCAACATGGCTACAACAGCACTGCAATCTATAGATTTCTATGTGTGTCTCTAGCTCCTTATCATATCTTTAGTTTTATTAATGCACCTCAACTCTTTGCTATTCAGAATATGTAGTAAGTTTAACAAAAGGCTTTCCTGTTGAAATGAAAGCTTCAGAAAATGTATTATTCTTTAACAAACCTTAATCTCCCCATTTCTTCTGATATTACCAGAAGTAATACGACAGAAAAAGAAATTTAAATTAAAAGGAAAGAAAAATAAAAGCAGTACGTTGGTAAAACACCTGCATACGTGTCTCTAATACAGAATGAACTTTTTAGTCATAGCCCTTCAACTCTCTCTTCAAGAGCAATGAATTTGTAATACACCTCTACCCCAATATAACACGAATTCGGATATAATGCAGTAAAGCAGTGCTCCAGGGGGGCAGGGCTGTGCACTCCGGTGGATCAAAGCAAGTTCGATATAACGCGGTTTCACCTATAACGTGGTAAGATTTTTTGGCTCCCGAGGACAGCGTTATATCGGGGTAGAGGTATAGTACTGTATCCAATTAGATCATTCCTATTCTAAACAGGCCACTCCTTCAAGTAATTATTCTTTTTTTAGTCTACAGTCATTCACCTAAAATTTCTCCCCGAAAATAAAATAATAGAAAGCCCATAAAAACAATAAACACAAAATTTGCTAAGTCTCAAGAGGGTCCCAAGGGTCAGCACACTCAGGCTTTGTCAGACTGCGGCAGGAAGTAAATTCCAGAGTTGAGGGTCCTCCATCAAAAATGCTCTGCCATCAGCCTCAGTGTTTAAATTTGGAGAGTGTTATCTTGAAACACCTTAGTTAACCTGAACTGTCATGGTGGTGTTATGATTTGAGAAGTCAGTCTTCGGGTAGCCAGGATCCAAGACACATATGGCCACATACAACAAAGTCAACACCTTAAAATAAATTAAATGAATGAAACAGCAAAAGTGTCTCATGAACACAACGTTACCATAAGTGTACACCAATATTGCCATGAATTTTGTGTTCCACAAAATATCCACTTTATAAAAAGAATGGTCACATTATTTCTAGAAAAATTTTCATAGTGTAGGAAAACATAGGAGGAATAGGAAGAGATTTTTTTCAGTACAATAATTTCAATGTTGATCATCCTACAATAGGATCAGGTCAACCTGTTTGGAATTCGGTATTATCTACCATTCTACAAAGAAATCTACCTGTCAGGCTTTCAGTGTTATTTTAAAACTAGAGACACGTAAATGCTATTTTAAACTATGCACATTCCATTTGAAATCATTATTATTCTTGTAATAACAATGAACCCAAATCTGATTGATAGTTGTTGAATTTGACTCTTTGATATCCTACTGGTTAATTATCTTTTTGACAGTTATTAGCGTGTTTGAAATCCTAACACTGCCGTAAACCCTTTGCCAACTGGTGGTTGATTAGTGGTCTGTGTTAAATTAATTTGGTAGTTAATCCAATTCCTTGTAGTAAGATGTAAACATCACAAAACCAATACTCTTCTTAGTTTCATTAGAACTGATGGAGACTGAATTCTCCTCCTACCACCTAGGGATGAGCTATCCCAGAACATGTTGGGGAGGCAGTAAGAAAGAGATTGCATTGATGCTGCCTATGAGATATCCATGCTACAGATAAATACAAGACTTTTGTCCACTCAGCCGTTAATTTGGCACATTTATTTAACAAAAATATATTTAAAAAAACCAACAACCAACCAGCCCCTTAGGTGTCTGGTCATTCTGAATATACTTACATCAATACACGACTATTTTCTCACCTTAAAAACATATTTTACATGAACGTAATCAAAAGGGATGTTTAGCTTAATAAGTAATTTCAATGTCTTGTCTAAATTAATCTTTCCAGTTCTAAACTCATCCTGAATGATGGACAAAAACCATGTAAGGAAAAACAGGTTAAGGAAATGTATAAACACATTTAATTAGCTTTTTTTATGGGAAGATGTATTTGATTTTTAAGCGAAACATATTAGCTATTTTTCTACTATTATACTTTCTCCATTTCTGGTTCCAAATAATTAACTGAAAAATATTTATGTTATTTATTTTATTACAGTGCTGGGCTAAAGGGATGCTGGAGGAGGAAGAGCAGCCTATAGGGAAGAAAGGCGAAAAGGAATAAGAAAGATGAAATGGCACAGACGATAAATGGGAACAGATGAGTTAAGACATCCAATGGTAGTAAACATGAAAGGGAGTATAGTAAGAGTTTAATGGGCGTAAAGAATAAAGGGGGGGGGGATTCATGGATTAAAGAAAATAGGGTAGTGGAGGAAAGCAATAAAAAGGGTAGAATAGATGCAGGAGTGTAAAAGCAATGGGGAGGCAGGTGTGAACGGACTAATGTGGACAGGGAGCTGACAAGGTTGAGTGACAATGAAGAAGAGTTGGGTTATTAATGGGGGTGGCTAGAAGAGCTGAATGGGTTTCCAACACAGTGTTACAGGAGGGAGGGGTGCTGGTGGGTTGCTGGGGGAAGGTGAGCTGGGCTTGCACTGGGTGTATGGGGAGGTCTCTGGCAATCGGGGGGTCTCCCTAGTGTGGGACCTGGCCGGGGAGAGTGTCACTCCACGCGGGGGGGGGGGGGTCTCTATTAGGGATGTGCCCAGTGCACTGGGGAGGGGCGGGGGAGCCTGTCCCGCCCTGTCCGCGCGGCGGCGGGTCGATGACAAGGATATTTGTTCTCCATGGTGGACTCCGCATCGCCCTGCGCCTCTCCGGGGTCTGGTCACTCCGATGGTGTCAGCAGCGGCTCCCAGCGCGGCATCACCCCGGCCCGGCTCCTCTCCGGACCCCTCCTCCCGCCTCCCCACACGCGGGGATCCCGCCCCTTCCCGACCAACCGCCCTCGCCGCTGCCCAGAGGGAAGAGGGAACCCGTCGGCGCCTAAGCGCCGGCCGGCACGCGGGGCCTGTGACGCCACAAACGGCCCGGCCACATGGGACACCCCCCCTCCTCCTCGCCCTCCCGAGGCCACGCGACAGACCCGCTTCTTCCGGCCCCTCCCATCGCGTGGCAGGCGGGAGAGACCGGCTCCCCGGCCTGGCCCGGGTGAAGGTGATTTTCCTGTTCCCGCGCTCACACTATACCCTGGCAACTCGACACAATTGGGCCAATTCCGCTGCCATAGTCTGATCCCAGCCCAGGGTCTAGATCCGGACAGAGAGCGTGTTGCCTTGTGTCCACCTGACCACCTGGCCCGGTCTTCTGAACCTTCCCAGCAGGGCCCTTCCTCCCTTTGCCCCATGGCTAGACCTTGCAGTGCCCTCCTCATCCCACCCTCCAGAAGCCCCAGGCTCGCCGTGGGGATTTATCCCCCCTGCCATGGATCCCACTTCTTAGCCCCACTGAACCAGATGGATATTCCCAGGGTCATTTGCAGCCTTACCGCCTCCGGCGTTCAAGTTCCTGACAAACTCACTGTTGCTTTTTGCCCTTCATGTGCCCTAAATCAAGGGTTTCCAAAGTGTGGAACATGTTCCCAGGGCCAGGGGTGGTACTTGATCCGCAGCTAGTATGTGCACTTGATTTTCCATCCACTCACGTCACAACAATTCTCTGAGAAGGTGGTAGGTGAACTAATAAAGCTTTGGGAACAGCTACTCTAGATCTATCCAGAGCTCTTTCCACCTGTTCTCGCTTCAGGTGCTTTAGACTTTTTAGGGCCATTTCAGAAAACTGTTACATCATGAAAAGTTCTTGAGCTTTCCATGATGGTGATTTTTATTGTTACTATGTTGATTATTTTCCAGTCTTTTTATTTCATTGTTGCTTTATCAAAAGAGTTGGATCTTCTCTGAGTATGTTTCTGGTTATCTAAAACATTCACATTGAAGCTCTCCATAGCTGAGTTTTCATTCTGGTATCCTAAGTTGTGGATCCCTAGCCATCTATCTTCCATGTGACAACATAATCATGTCCATATGTTAGTAAAAAAGGGAAGCACCAGAGAAGGGGGTCGGCTTGTGACCGGGTATAGAGAGTGAGAGGTGGGACACAGCCCCTCCCCCCAACCGAGGGAGCAAGGAGAGGCAGCACAGCCAGCAGAGCCAGAAGGGAAAAAGCAGGGCCAGAGTCTCTCTTTTGCAGTTTCCGCCACACACTTTGTTTACTTAGGTTTACCTCTGTGCCTGCGGACACTCGAGGTAAACAAACCATCTTGCCCCACCAGTGGCGTATCCTGATGGCCCGGGAGCCAAAGTTTGCTGACCCCTGAATTATAGGGTCGGCCTATGAATGGCTCATAAAAATTTTCCATTTTACTTATCCGTCTTGGGGGGGTTGGCTTATAAAGGTACTGGCTTATGATCGAGTATATACTGTAGATTTTCATGTGCTGCCAGCAAATATTTTCCACTGACAATTTTTCCAAAAACTCTAGCTCTATTGAATCATTTTCTTGTGATCTCACTAATATTTCTAGATCTTTCCAGATACAACTTTAGAGCACACAACAAAGTTCTGGATGTTACCAAGAAACTTTTTTGCTGTGACATCATCAGGTGTTCTAAAATATTTTTAATAACAGTTTTCACGTTAGCATAATATTCATGCTTTCATTTCAGGTTCACCACCACAGAAATAAACCACAATGTCCAACAAATGTGATTTGTCTAAGGAAGAGAAAGTGTGGGTCATATGCCGTCTGCTGTATCAGGCACCTCCAGGCGAATTCTACAGTGTTTTTGAAGATCTCCGTATTCTGGTCCAGGATGATGACCTAATGAGGCAAGAGGCTGCCCAGGTCTGTGCCCATCACAATAAGAACAATTTCACCTTAGTCAGAATAGAAGGAACCAGTGTGCTGGTGACTCGCTACAATGACCTAGGAGGAAATCGCTTTTTTGACCCGAAAAATAAATTTTCTTTCAAATTTGATCACTTGAGTGGAATATCAAACAAATTTCAGCTCCATAGGGTAGCATGGGATGAGACAGAGTTATGGAGAACAGCCCTAAATAGTGCTTTAAAGGCATACGTGGATAGTCACTTTCCTTCAGGGGACTGCTGTGTGTTTAGAAAAACCTTGAAAAACAGGCAGGTATTTGTGGTCTGTATTGCAGGTCATCAGTACAAACCGTTGGGTTTCTGGAATGGCCTTTGGAAAGGTGAATGGACTTTTTTCCAGATTCCAGTTATTACTCAGGTTACAGGGGCCATTCATATGCAAGTACACTACTTTAAAGATGCTAACCTCCACATGACAGTCTGCAAGACTGTTGAAGAGACCTTGCATGTAATTGACCCAGCCCAGTTGGCCATAGATTTTGTGAAACTCATAGAAACTGAAGACAACAAATTTCACATTGCCGTGCTGGAAAACTTCCAAGCTTTGACAGATGAAATCTGGAGAAAAATTCTACGAAGGCAGCTCCCAGTCACTCGCACTATCATTAACTGGAATAAACTGCTGACCAATCAGAGCATAAAAGCCAATATTTCCAGTCGTGAGGTGCCACTGAGTTTACTGAAGTGCATGGTTTGAGTAAAATATAGCCCAAATAAAACTAACAATCACTGTGGAAAGTGGATTTATTTATTCATTTGGCTTATTTCTGGACGTCTATGGGGAATATAGAGCCTTTTACCACAAAGTTGCCATTTTGAATCTAATCTAGTTCAGTAATGACTAAAAGTTATTACTGTTTGATGTTTTTCTTAATGCAGGGATTTTCTCGCCTTTTTATGATTCAGCTAGCACTAGCCACTGTCAGAGATAGGATAGTATCAGAGGGGTAGCTGTGTTAATCTGTATCCACAAGAACAACGAGGAGTCCAGTGGCACCTTAAAGACTAACAGATTTATTTGGGCATAAGCTTTTGTGCGTAACCCCCCCACACACTCTTCTTCATATTCATGGAGTGAAAATTACAGATGCAGGCATAAGAATACTGACACATAAAGAGAAGGGAGTTACCTTACAAATGGAGAAACAGAATTGGCCTTGTTAACACTGGTTCTCCACTTGTAAGGTAACTCCCTTCTCTTCATGTGTTGGTATATTTATGCCTGCATCTGTAATTTTCACTCCATGGATCTGAAGAAGTGGGGTTTTTTACCCACGAAAGCTTATGCCAAAATAAATCTGTTAGTCTTTAAGGTGCCAGAGATAGGATACTGTCTAGATGGACCACTTGTCTGATCCAATATGGAAAGTCATATTTCTATGTATTTTTCACCGGTTTTAAATTGACTTACATTTTTAAAAGAAAATAATTGAATTTAATCTCACATTTTATGTTAACTTTCCTTTTGGGGCAATTGGTAATGCTTGTTTAATAAGGATATTAAGGGACAAATAAGAGATTTTCAGAATAGCATTGAAACCCAAGAAGTTCAACTTTCAAGTTTTGTTCACGTATATCAATATTTATCTAGAGAAAAGATATTCATAATGCAGTCATGTAAACTAAGGGAGACATGGAACAGGAGGCATAAACCTATTACAGTCAAGGTTGGAACTGTGCCAGATCCCACCAGGGATGTGTCATAGTATTCAAGAAGAAACTTTAATACCTGTCATCGTGGGATTGCAGAATACATGAAGCTGGGCCACCTCCTCTCTCAGTTTTGACAATTGAATTATAACTAGGGCTGTCAAGCGATTAAAAATATTAATCGCGATTAATCGCACGATTTAAAAAATTAATCACGATTAATCACGCTGTTAAACAATAGAATGCCATTTATTTAAATATTTTTGGATATTTTCTACAATTTCAAATATATTGATTTCAATTACAACACAGAATACAAAGTATACAGTGCTCAATTTATATTTATTTTTATTACACTGTAAAAAACAAAAGCAATAGTATTTTTCAATTCACCTAATACTAGTACTGTAGTGCAATCTCTTTATCATGAAAGTTGAACTTACAAATGTAGAATTATGTACAAAAAATAGCTGCATTCAAAAATAAAACAATGTAAAACTTTAGAGCCTACAAGTCCACTCAGTCCTACTTCAGCCAATCGCTCAGACAAACAAGTTTGGTTGCAATTTGCAGGAGATAATGTTGCCCACTTCTTGTTTAAAATGCCACCTGAAAGTGAGAACAGGCATTCACATGGCACAGTTGTAGCCAGCATCGCAAGATATTTACATGCCAGATGCGCTAAAGATTCATAGGTCCCTTTATGCTTCAACCGCCCTGATGATTGATTCTGCTTGATAACGATCCAAAGGAGAGCAGACTGACGCATGTTCATTTTCATCATCTGAGTCAGATGACACCAGCAGAAGGTTGATTTTCTTTTTTGATGGTTCAGGTTGTGTAGTTTCCGCATCTGAGTGTTGCTCTTTTAAGACTTCTGAAAGTGTGCTCCACACCTCGTCCCACTCAGATTTTGGATGGCACTTCAGATTCTTAAACCTTGGGTCGAGTGCTGTAGCTATTTTTGGAAATCTCACATTGGTACCTTTTTTGCGTGTTGTCAAATCTGCTGTGGAAGTGTTCTTAAAACGAACATGTGCTGGGTCGTCATCCAAGACTGCTATAACATGAAATATATGGCAAAATGCGGGTAAAACAGAACAGGAGAGATACAATTCTCCCCCAAGGTATTCAGTAACAAATTTAATTAACACATTATTTTTTTAACGAGCATCATCAGCATGGAAGCATGTCCTCTTGAATGGTGGCTGAAGCATGAAGGGGCATACGAATGTTTAGCATATCTGGCACATAAATACCTTGCAACACCGGCTACAAAAGTGCCATGTGAATACCTGTTCTCACTGTCAGGTGACATTGTAAATAAGAAGCTGGCAGCAGTATCTCCCGTAAATGTAAACAAACTTGTTTGTCTTAGCGATTGGCTGAACAAAAAGTAGGACTAAGTGGACTTGTAGGCTCTAAAGTTTTACAATGTTTTGTTTTTGAGTTCAATTATGTAACAAAAAAGTCTACATTTGTAAGTTACAGTTTCACGATAAAGAGATTGCACTACAGTACTTGTATGAGGTGAATTGAAAAATACCATTTCTTTTGTTTATCATTTTTACAGTGCAAATATTTGTAATAAAAAATAATAATATAAAGTGAGCACTGTACACTTTGTATTGTGTATTGTAATATAAATCAATATATTTGAAAATGTAGAAAAACATCCAAAATATTTAATAAATGTCAATTGGTATTCTATTGTTTAACAGTATGATTAATCGTGATTAATTTTTTTGAGTTAACCATGTGAGTTAACTGCGATTAATCAACAGTCCTAATTATAACTGATTACTAAAAATAATGAGTGACTTATCCACATCTGATTTCATACTAGCTGTGGGCAGCTTACTATCATCAGAGGGTATGGTCCCACCAACACCAAGGCTAACAAGATAATTTACCAGCAACTGCAGTCAATCTTCAATAAAATTCTGAGAAGAGATGTCATTGTGATTGTGGGCAACTTTAAAGTGCAGGCAGGAAAGTATAATGACATCCGGGAAAGTACATTTGGTATCAGGCAGATGAACAGGAATGGGCAGCGACTGCTGGAATTTGCAGCTGCCAATGACATGGTGATCGCTGACCTTCTCTTTTGTCACTCAAAGATTCATAAGCAGACTTGGTATAGCCCAGATGGTTTCACCAGCACTGTTATTGATCATGTCCTTATTAACAGTCATTGGCAGTCATGGATGTGTGAGTTCACAGAGATGCTGAACTTCACACTGACCATTGGCTTCTGCTGACAAAAGTGTACTTCCGACTTCAAAGAATAGACAACCAGTTAATGGGCTGAAATTAGTCCAGTTCAACAAAAAGATCTTAATACAACAAACTGTCAGATGGCTTTCTGTTCTGAACTGTGTAAGGCCATCGAAGCACTGAAGAATGAAATGTCACTCCTTCTGTCATCTGATGAGGAATGGTGTTGTTTCAGGTCATCAGTGCTGACCACTGTCAGCTCAGTGCTGGAGCCTCAGCTCTTCAGACATTATCCAGGGATCAGTGAGGAGACACAGGTTTTCCGATGCTTTACGTCATCCTGTGGGGGTGTATGCAGATGCTGTTCTGACTGGATGTAATGTCAGTTGCGTGGGAGCAATGAAGATGGACACTGGACTGTAACAGAGATGACTTGGCTACCTCTAGGGCGGATAACATCTGAGGGGCGTGCTGCTTAGCCTTAAATAAGTTCCTGTTGCCAGGCATATTAGAAGGTCAGGTGACCCCTGTCTTTCCCACCTTTGCAAGAAAAGGCGCCAAACTAGGCAACAAGAAGGACACTAAATATGGAGGAACAACAACAACTCCATGAATCCAAGATGGCTAACTGAGGGTAAAATAGCAAAACAGAAAAATTCCGTACACTGGAGCTAAGAAAAAAGCAAGGCTACAGTTTGAGGATTCAATGACATGTTTGTTGAGAGCAAAGGAAAAGCTGAATGGGTTTGACTTCAGTATGTCATCAAGTCATTGTGTGAGAAAGATAAGTAATCCTGATGTTTGTCTCAGACAGTGAGTTTAGAAAGGCTGCTGCCTAGCACTATTGCTGCACCCTTTATTCAGCTTTGTGGTGTTTGTAGGGGAAGGTGGCATCAGGATGTCCAGTAAAGAATTAGGATGGCAGTGTAGCAAGGCGGAGTGGCCTCCCTCTGATCCTGACAGGGAGGAACCACTCCCTGCCTCCTGGTGAGTGAAGCCAGGCCAGGCCTGGCCCTCATGTCAGAAGCAGAGGGATGGAACAGGAAGTATAAGAAGCGGGGCCTCCAGCTCAGTTGAGAGGGAGCCAGGGAAGGAGTCAAATGCTGGCGCCTTGCTGCTGGCCCCTGAACCAGGGACCGAGCTGTGTCAACCCCTGCCTCCTCAGGAATACTCGGAGGAGCTGCTGCAAGGAGAATACCCCAAGGAACTGCTGGCTGCCAAGTACCCAGAGGAGCCTGAGGGTCCATGAGCAACAAAGCCCTATGAACAGATTGGGGTAGGAAATAGCCCAGAGAAACCAGACACTAGTCCAGTTGTGTTGCTGAAACCATGATCAACATGTTTCGGCAGGATCCCCACTGACCCAGTAGCAGGATTCCCAGCCACTGTTAGGGCCCTGCGCTGGGACCCAATGGAGTAGGGTGGGCCTGGGTCCCCCTGCTGCCAACCCCCAGCAGCCTACCCACCTTAGGCTGGATGGCCTGTGCTTGCCTGCTTTTGCACTGCCCTGGCCATATAGCCAAGCCATAGACTGTTTGCTGTCTGCCCAGCCAGGGATCCGGGCCACAGCCTGTGTTGGCTGTCTTCCCCAGCCAGGGAACCTGAGCCTGACTATTATTGGGTCTATCTACTGTTGATCAGCTCTCAGCCGCTTCGTGGTGTAGCAAGGCGGAGTGGCCTCCCTCTGACGCTAACTGGGAGGAACCACTCCAAGCCACTACAGGCAGCATCAGCCAGAGTCTGCAAGATCAGTTGCGAAGATCATTTCAAGATAATCCTCAATTGTCCATCACCTGCAGTTCCCCTTCCATTTAAAGCGGGGCAGGAAGTTCTGGTAGAGCCACCTTCCTTCAAGCAAGAAGAGATCCAGATCACAGTCCATAAACAGAAATCTGAGGAGGCTCCAGGAGTTTGTAACATTACTCTTGAGTTCCTGAAGACAGGTAAGAGTATTGTTGTACTGTGGCTGCCAGGCTGTCCCAGACCATCTGATGACTGGAAGAAGGGGTTATTCTGCCTCTGTTCAAAAGACTGAATGTAGCAATTATAGAGGTATTATGCTGTTGTCAGTCCCAGGGAAAGTCTTCACTTCAGTCGTAGTGTTTCAAATCAATGATGCATTTTGTGGCAAAAGCCAGGATTCTCAGTGTGGCTTTAGACCTAGTCATTCCTCTAACAATCAGCTCTTTACCGTGAGAGAGTTTTTTAGAAGTTGGCTGAATTTCATAAGTCATGTGAACACGTTTTATAGATTTCCATCAGACTTTTGAGTCAGTGCATAGAGCAAGTTTATGGGATCTGTGCTGCATCTTGGCATCTCGTAAAGATGGTGTCATTGATAAAAGAGCCCTATGGAATGGAAAGCGGTGTTGGAGTCAATGGCGGATACACAACCTAGTTTCCTATCTCCATGGGAGTTTGGCACAGGCTGTCACCAGCACTGTTCAATATCGGCATTGACTGCTTGGTAGATAAGCTTGGGGAGGGATCTGTTGGTGACACTGAACTGAACACCATTCTGCTTCAGCATTTTGAATCCGCAGATGTCTTATTGCCTCAGTTTGGTGAATTACTGCAGCTGATGGCTGATCTGGTTAGGCAATAAGCAGCATACATAGTACTGTTTATTAATCCAGGTAAAACTAGGTCCCTAGCCATTATCGTCAAACAAACTCCAGATTATAACCAGTTCAGTATTAACCTATATGGATGGGACATTGAGGAGCCACCAAATATTTGGGCAGCATCATAGACATTGCTGGAGGATTGCTGCTGTTATGTTTAAGGTCCTTCAGCATCTTCTGTGGGGACATCATGACATGAAGCTGGCTACCAAGCTGTGGATGTATAGAACCACCATTATACCAACTCTCTCATATGGAAGTGAAAAGTGGGCATTGAGGAAAGCTGAAGAACACTGAATTGACTTCTTCATATCAAATAGCAAGGACAAGATCAGAAACTAAGATATTCTAACTGAATCCAGCAACTTCCTTCATCAGCACTGGTTTGGTTTCAGCAACTTTCTTAGTATGAACATATTTAAGGCACTGAATTTTGAAGCATGTGTACCAAGAAATGTTGCTACATGGCTGGTGGTCACAGGGGTACCTTAAGCTTTGGTGGTATGACCAGATTGCCAGAGATAGACATAAACTGAATATATAATCAGAACATCTTAGGCACTTTGCCAGAAAATGATCTGGGTGGCTCTTGATTTGCAAAGAGGCCATGTCTCTTTGGGATTTGCAATGATGCTGAATAAAATAAAATGCAGTAAAATGACAGAGGAACAGAGTTTAATCACAGATAAATGATGTTCAAATAGACTAGAGAATTTGTTGTTATATACTATTGTCATTACTGCAATAGCATCCAGAGATGTTAGTGAAGACCAGGACCCCATTATGTGATAGGCATTGTAAAGACATAAAATAAAAGTGAGTCCCTACCCCAGAGACCTTACAGTCATAATAGGGGCAAGATGTAACAAGTGGGTAATGGTCATAATTGACAAGGCAGAGGAGGAATAGAATACAAGGATGATTAATTGGAACCCAAAGTTGCATAGACTTATATTATAGTGGCCCCATATTGTAGCAATAAGAATATTTACCTTTTTTCTCTTATTTATTTTTAAATATAGCTATTCTTCTGTTCCAACACTTCTAATTACTCTAAATTCGATTCCTACCTCATTAGCTATTCCTTCTATTTAAATATATCTCTTGAATTAGAGTTTTAATGGAAATAGAAAGCTAAATTTGTAGTACTGTTTAGTACTGCATTAAATCTAGTAAAAATGTTGATGTAAGTATAAAAATATAATACACAACTAGAAGACCTGTAATTTTATAATACATATATATATATTTGTTAATATTTGTTTTAAGCACCAATACAGTGGATTTTGCCTTCACTGATCACAGCTTGTAGTGATCATGTACTAATGTGAATTAACTCTTACTTTCCAAAGCCATTTTCTATTGGTACTGATGTGTTTGCCTCTCTCTTATACCAATCAATGGGGTTTTCAATTGCAAGGATCACATTTGACATGATTACTTAGATTTTATATGATGTTTTAAAACATAGCAAAGGACTTTGCACCCTTTGGAGTGCCACTCAGCCACAGGAAAGATTGTTACAGTTTCTGAAAGCACACGTTAGAACCAAGTATAATTTGACTGACCTGTCATAGTACTAAGATGCCTTCTAGAACTTACCATGTCATTACAAAAATAAAGATTTTGCTTCTACACACATGCCTGTTTGGGGAAATTTCTTATTTTATGTATTCGAATACAGTGATCATCCAGATATAATAGTAATAAGTGGGTGCTTATCAAATAGATATAAACAACATTATAATTCTACAGCAAAATTGTTGTTGTTGTTATAATATAATGTTAAATGTATATTTGTTCATTTCTTTAGATCCATAAAGCCATAAGGGGTGCATATTTTTGTACTTTAGGTACAATTAGTTAAAAGTATGGCTAACATGATGCAAAGGATTGTAAAAGACAAATGGAAAGATTCTTGGTACAGAAGAAGAACAAAGGAAAAGATGAACAGAACATATTCAGACTGTTTTAAATAAACTAAGCCCAAGCAAACTACTAGAAATACATGTGAAGACCTACCACCAGAGATTGATACTGGTTTAGTAGATACTACAATAAAAGAAGTTAGAAAAGCCATCTGTAAGCTAAAAAATTGGAAAGCAGCAGGAGGGGATAACATTACTGGAGAGATGCTTAAAGCAAATGACAAAACAGCTCTCCAGACTTTCCTTGTCTTTTTGGACAGAATATGAATGAATGAAGAATCCAATCCACTGGAAGAGAGACCTGATAGTAAAATTGCCAAAGAAGGGTGAGCTTATCAGCTGCAATAACTGGAAAGAAATCACATTTCTCTCAATGCCTGAGAAAATCATAGACAACATCATTTGGGAATGTATCAAGAAACAAATAGCCTCCAAATTAGAGAGGGAAAAGCAGGTCTTAGACCACTGAGATCATGTGCAGTACATATTGTTGTTCTCAGATATATTACAGAACAAAATGTGGAATGTCAGACACGCGTGATAAATTCTATAGATTTCAAGAAGGCTTTTGATAGTCTACACAGAAATAGTCTTTGGAAAATTATGGCGTATTATGGAATATTGGCGTATTAGGTAGAATAATTAGAATCATCAAGGATCTTCATAATAATGCTGTATGTGCAGTCAGAGATGGTGGCAAGATCATCTGATGGTTTGCAGTGACAACCAGAGTAAAGCAAGGCTGTATTATGTCCCCACTATTGTTTGCACTGGTCATTGATTTTTGTCATGCGGAAAATAACTGCAGAAAGCAACAGGAATTTTATGCACAAATGATAACACACAATTGGATGACCTAATTTTTGCTGATGATGTTGTCCTGCTTAGTTCAACACATCACGTAATAGAAGGAAAGACCCATATTTCGCAGACACAGCAAAACAAGTTGATTTGTTTATCAACACGGGGGAAATAAAATATACGTCTATCAGTGTCCCAAAGCAACCATCAGAGTAGACAGAAAAACACGAGAAGAAGTAAGTCATTTTTACCTATATAGGGAATGAGGTATGCAGTGATGGTGACATCAAGCTAGATATCAAACAAATATCCCAAAGCAGCAAACAACTTTCATAAACTTGAAAATAATTTGGAAAAGTTGCATGATTGGCACTGATACAGAAAAAAAAGAATTTTTAACAGTGGTATCATGTCTGTTCTCCCTTATGGAGCAGAGTCATCGCTTTTATTGTAGGATTTTCATAACAAGATCAATGAATTCCAAAGTAAATGTCTGTGAAAGATTTTCAGAGTCCAATGGAAAGAGTTTCTTCCAACATCAGAAATTCTAAGTAGAGCAAACCAACCTAAAGCATCAAACATGGTAAGAAGATGACAATGGACATATTTAGGACATGCTTTGAGAATACAAATATGACTTCCATGTCAAGTGATAATATGGACAACACTTGGAAAGAGAAAATGAGGATGACTTGGAGAAACACTACTCAGAACAATAGAGAAAGAAGCCAAATGCACCAATATGACACTCAAAAGTCTTAACAGACCAGCACAAGACTGAAATACATGGTGGAAACTGGTGGACACACCAGGCAGCTGAGAGTGCAGGAGGGTAAAGAAGAAGAAAGGATTGTATAATGTTACAAAAATATTGCAGTATAGCTGTAAATGAATTAAATATGTAAACAGATATGTACTGCACACTTTTTATTTTCTATTTGAATTGATTAGGATACATTTTTCAGTTCCATTTTAACATCTTCTCTGTAGTCACACCCACAGGTGCTGACTCTGTGGGTGCTCCGAGGCTGGAGCAACCGCAGAAAAAAAAATAGTGGGTGCTCAGCACCCACTGGAAGCTCCCCCAATCAGCTCCTCCCCCTCCCTCCCAGCACCTCCCACCCACCATGGATCAGCTGTTCAGTGGGGTTCAGGAGGCACTTAGGGGGAGGGAGAGGAGCGAGGGGGAGGCGTGGGAGAGGGAGGGGGGAGAACGGGGCAGGGTCTGGAAGAGGTGGGGGCAGGGCCTGGGGCAAGTGAGGGTCAAATACCCCCGGCAACTCATAAAGACAGCGCCTATGGGCACACCTCTAAGGATGATGAGTCTGATTGTTTTATGCCAGGGGCGGGCAAACTTTTTGGCCTGAGGGCCGCGTCAGGTTTTGGAAATTGTATGGAGGGCCGGTTGGGGGGTGGTGGCCTGCCCTCCCCCCCGCTTCTCGCCCCCTGGCGGCCCCCCCCAGACTCCTGCCCCAGCCAACCCCCCCCATTCCCTGATGGCCCCCCAGGACTCCTTCCCCATCTACCCCCCCACTCCCTGTCCCCTGACCGCCCCCAGAACCCCGCCCCTCACTGCCCCCCACCGCCCCATCCAACCCTCTCTCATTCCTGACTGCCCCTCCCCCTCAGATCCCTGCCCCATCCAACCACCCCTTCTCCCTGACCGCCCCCTGCCACCCTATCCTACCCCCCCTCCTTCCTGACTGCCCCCCCGGGACCCCTGCCCCCATTCAACCCCCCTGTTCCCCGCCCTCTGACCGCCCTGCCCCCTATCCACACCCCCGCCCCCTGACCGCCCCCCGAACTCCCCTGCCCTCTATCCACCTCCCCTGCCCCCTTACTGTGCTGCCTGGAGCACCGGTGGCTGACGGCGCTACAGCCACGCCACCATGCAGCACAGAGCACCGGGTCAGGCCGGGCTCTGCAGCTGCGTTGCCCCAGGAGCTCACAGCCCTGCTGCCCAGAGCATTGCGCTATCGGCGGAGCGAGCTGAGGCTACGGGAGAGGGGGGACAGCAGGGGAGGGGCCGGGGGCTAGCCTCTCAGGACAGGAGCTCAGGGGCCAGGCAGGAAGGCCGTACTTTGCCCACCTCTTTTTTATGCAGATCTCTCCATGTGGAGCTCCCATTCCATAAGGATGAATCTCTTGTGGCAGTGTCCCTTGATGATGCCCTATAAAGATGCCTCGCCACTGGAGATCTGATTAGACAGCACGATGGGCTGCAGGAGGGCTTGGGGATGAGGCAGGGAGAGCATTCCCTGCTGTGGCTGTATTACTGATGAGTCAACCACACTTTATCCCCCTAGCTACTATTGAGACCCAGCCTTTAGGAGCGTGGCTCTTTTAAGGGCTGTGCTGCTGGAGGAAGCACAGTTGGTAAAGTAGCAGCTGGCTTTGCAGGATATTTATTTAAATATGTGATCATTACATTATTGTTAATAATAATTTAATTAAAATTGATATGTCCTAGGACTCCATCCCTTGTCATGCACTGCACCCAGAAGTATACATGCATTCTGAAATTGGTGACGAAATATGTTGCATAAATTTACATGGCATCAGACGATATAAAAAATACAGAAATCTGGTCTTGCATTGTGAAAACAACACACTTATTGAAATACAAATATTGAATATGAATTATCATAAAAGGAATCACAGAAAATGACTATGCAGCTACATTACATTATAAATGTTCAGTTTTCATATTTCCCCCCTCATGAAAGTCACTCTGAGACAAAAATGTATGAAATTTTGCAATATCTATTCTTCTGTAAGATGAACCTCTCTCCTAATTAGAGTACAATTTCTCTTTTGGCAAAAACACAACAAGAACACAATAAAAATACCTAATAATATAGGGCCATACAATGCACTCCAGATCACATCTAGATCTCATCTTTCCTCTGCAATCTCCCTTCCTTTTATTGCTCTGCAGCAGGCCTTTCATGAGGTCAGGATCTGCCTGGAAGGAGAGTACAGGCTTTGGTTAGTTGGGGAATGGAGACCTTGTGTTGGGTGGAGTTGGTGATAGAAGAAAAGGCATGTTCTTCCTTCCTTCTCCAGCCATGGAAAAGATAAATACAAGTTGGACTTTATTACCTTCCCACAGTGTGTCCTGCATGATGGAAATCTCTCTCTAAAGGAAACCCTGATGAGCTGTGGCCAGGAGAAGCCCCTGGTAGAACAGCTCCATTAGACATCTGTTTGTATGGTTCTGTCTTCCTGTGATTCTGCCAATATCTTTCAGGTTTAGTAGTGGAGCCCGTGGCTCATTTCACAGGGGCACAAAGCTCGCCCACTCCCCCCCCCCCCCAGTAGAGGGCATCATTGCAGAGTTTTCCTCCCACTTTGCCTGCTCTTGAGGGTTTTTGTCACATGAGGGATGCAGTCCAACTCAAAGTACCTTTACTCGTAAAGGCTCCAAAGCTCTTTTAAGATGACTGATATGCATACACACACTCACATCACTTCTTTCACCACTGAAATGCAGTCGTCTCTGATGTGCCATGCTTGTAAGTATTCTGTATCAGCATCACTACCCTGTTTTTAAGAGAGGAAAGGGAGAATGAGGCAACTGAAACTACAGAAGAGATTTAGGTAGCAAACTATAAGTTGGTGTAAAGTCAGCACACACATTTTTACATAAGAAAAGTGCCAAGGGATCTTTTAATGACCGCAGATGGTCAGGTTCTCATTTTCATATTTCATTCAAATTATGTTCCTTTCAGCAGGACAGTGCTCCATAACATGATGTTGGAATATTGGTTCAGTGATGGCTTTGAGAGAAAGTGACATTTACTGAACCTCCATCACCATCTCCGGCAGCATGCAAGATCTTCTTGAAGATCTCACATGCAAAACCTTAAACTTTATAACAATGCCTTTTGAAGAGCTCAAGACTCAGAAAATGTTCTTTCCAATGTTGGATTTATGTTATGGATGTACCCAACTAGTTCAAGAATGAGTTTCAGTATTTCTCATGCTGGGACGGTAGCAGACATTAAACTGGGCCACTTTGGATCTGGAAGCTAAGTTCCATTAATCATCTCTTCAGCTATCATCTGAACAGAAGCACTTTCAAAAGCTGTC